CCATACAAATCTCGACCTCCGAATGAGGTACCATTGAATCGGCCTGAATGACGAGGCCTCTTGTCTGACCCATGACTGCCTCCCTATGATAGAACCATCTTAACTCTACGGGCTACATTGGTCGCCTCTTGAAAATTAATCTCACTCCCAGTCTCTCTAGCCATCTGAAGACGAATCGGCTGAATAAGACCATCAATAAACCTCCTCACCCTTTCTCTCTCGGTGGGGAGTATGATGAGAGCATGGCGAGCTAAGTCGATGAACCTGGTCTCATACTGGGTAACAGTCATGGAACCCTGCTGGAGGTGCTCAAACTGCCTCCGATAGGCCTCTCTATGAGTAACGGGGAGAAACTTCTCCAGGAATAACACTATAAACTGCTCCCAAGTCAAGGCTGGCGATCCGGCTGGTCTCGCTAAGCAATAATCCTTCCACCAAGTCTTGGAAGATCTAGACAAGCGAAATGTAGCAAAATTGACCCCATTGGTCTCAACAATGCCCATGTTCCTGAGAACCTCGTGGCAACTGTCTAGATAATCCTGGGGATCCTCAGTAGATGCACCGCTGAATGTAGAAGTGAAGAGCTTGGTGAACCTATCCAGTCTCCACAAAGCATCGGCGGACATAGCCGCTCCATCACCGGTATGAGCTACCACACCCGACTGTACTGCCCCAACTGGCTGAACCGCTGGAGTCTGAATCTGAGGAGCTACCTGCTCCGGAGTGCGAGTAACAAGAGTCTAGGCTCCTCCTCCAGCCTGAGAGACGGCTGGTGCTACAGGAAGCAAGTCTGCTCGGGTGGCACTTTCTATAAGGCCCACTAATCGGACCAGAGCATCCTGAAGAACTAGGGTAGCAATAAACCCCTCTAGGACCTGAGCTGAGCCCACCGGAACTGCTGGAGCCGGAACCTCCTCATCAAAATCAACTTGAGGCTCCGTCACTGGGGCTGCTGCTCGGGACTGAGATCTGCCCCTACCTCGTCCTCTAGCACGACCTTGGCCTCGCCCTCTACCCCTCGTGGTAGCGGCTGCTAGGGGCTCGGGCTGCTGAGCGGAGGATGAGCAAGCGCGTGTTCTCGCCATCTGCGAAAGAACGGAGTAGAAGTTCAATTAGCATTGAGAAACAAAACTGCACGACGAGAAAGAACAAATGTGAAGTTTTTCCTAACTCTGTAGCCTCTGGGGGATAAATACAGACGTCTCCGTACCGATCCCCCAGACTCTACTAAGCTTGTCTGTGAACTGTGAGACCTATGTAACCTAGAGCTCTGATACCAACTTGTCACGACCCAGTTTCCCACCCTTAGGAATCGTGATGGCGCCTACTAATGAGAACTAGGCAAGTCAAACCTTAACTACTTGCTACACTTTCATTTTTGCTTCTTTTTAACAAACACAAGTCGATAATATGATAAAAGTGGAATTTTAAATAAATAAGCGGAATTCAACAATTATATATCTTAAGGCTACGTCTATTACAACCTTTAAAACCTCCAATACCCAAAACATGGTGTCACAGTGTCACAAACTGTCTAAGAGTTACTACATACAAGGTATGAAGAAATACAATACACTGTTTCTGAACAAAAGGAAATAAAACAGGAAATAGAGATAGAGGGAGACGCCAGGGCCTGCGGACGCCTGCAGGTCTACCTTGGGTCTCCGGGTGGACTGAAGGAAGCACTCCAACTACTGTCCAAAAGCTGCTCCTAGATCTGCACACAGTGCAGAGTGTAGTATCAGCACAACCGACCTCATGTGCTGGTAAATGTCTAGCCTAACCTCGGCGAAGTAGTGACGAGGCTAGGACCAGACTACCAAATAAACATGTGCAGTTCAAATATATATAGCGGAAAAGAAATACAGAAAATAACCAGTCAATGTTGGAGGGGGAAACATGTTTTGGGGGAGATAACAGTTCCGAATAAAAAACATCAAGTAAGGAAAGAAACGACATAACTCGAATATCAACAAAGAATTAGAAATCAACAATTTGCATGGCATCACCCTTCGTGCTTTTACTTTCGTCCTCACCAAATCAATCACATAATAAAGATGTTCACGGCATCATCCTTCGTGCTTTTACTCTCTTTCCTTACCATATAAACAATGAAAATCGGTACGGAATGGTACATCGTACGGCACAACATCACCCTTCGTGCTTTACACTTTTTCATCACAATAGCAAATAATGCATGGCATCACCCTTCGTGCTTTACACTCTTTCCTCACATTAGCAAACAATGCACGGCATCACCCTTCATGCTTTAACACTCTTCCTCACCCAAACAACAATCACAAGCAAAGGGGCAAGGGAATAAACAAAATAGTAATAGAGATCCCAGCAAGGGAACTACAATTAAACAATTAAATCTCGGCAAAGGAACAACATCAATAATCTCAAAATCCCGGCAAGGGAGATAATCAACAAAGCAACAATATCCCGGCAAGGGAACAATTTAATAACTCTTTCTCTTTCTTTCACTTTTATTTCATAACTCACTTTACCACTTGAGTCAATGCTCTAAAGGGTCCAATCATCTCATATACTTTCACAATTCATAATATAACTTGAGCCAATGCTCCAAAAGGTTCAATCATCTCATATACTTTCACAGTTCATAATATAACTTGAGCCAATGCTCCTCGATGTTCAAGGTTACAATTCCTTCCACAAACTTTACACAATAGTTAGAAATCATCACCAAGGCTCAAGATACAACGAAATCAAGATCTTCAAAATTTAAAGACTCGCGGTCATGCTAGACACCAACGTATAGATACTCGTCACCATGCCTACACGTCGTACTCAACAATTATCATGTAGCAAATAAGACGCATCTCCTAATCCCTCAAGCTAAGGTTAGACCAAACACTTACCTCGATGCAACGAACACAATTCAAGCCTCAACTACCGCTTTATCTCTTGTTTCAACCACCAACTCGCTTGTATCTAGCCACAATTTACTTAACGATATCAATAAATGCTAAATGAATCAATTCTAATGCATGAAAATAGGTTTTATAAAGATTTTTCCAAAAAGTCAAAAATTGACCCCGGGCCCACTTGGTCCAAACCCGAAATTCGGACCAAAACCCGATTATCCATTTACCCCCGAGCCCGGATATATAATTGGTTTTGGATTTCGACCTCAATTTGAGGTCTCAATCCCCAAATTTCAATATTCTTAGGTTTTACTCAAAATTCTCAATTTCACCATAAAAACCCTAGATTCTAGGATGAAATCTTGTTAAAGAAGTTAAGGAGTGAAAGAAATAAGTTAAAAATCACTTACTAGTGTTTTGGGAGAAGAAGGAGCGTTTGGAAAATCGCCGCTTATGTTTTAGGGTTTTGAAAAGTGAAAAATAACTGAAAAGTCCGTTTAAATATACTTCTCTCAGGCCCTCTCCGCGGACCGCATAAAAAAGACTGCGACCGCGGAGCTCCACCACGAACCGCAAGAAATCGAGCGCGGCCGCGAAGGCTTGGCCTTGCTCACCGCGGACCGCACAAATCCCACCGCGGTCGCGAAGTCCCCACCGTGGACCGCGAGACCTGGCGTCTCCCTCTATCTCTATTTCTTGTTTCATTTCCTTTTGTTCAGAAACAGTGTATTGTACTTCTTCAGACCTTGTATGTAGTAACTCTTAGACAGTCTGTGACACCAGGTTTTGGGTATTGGAAGTTTTAAAGGTTGTAATAGACGTAGCCTTAAGATATATAATTGTTAACTTCCGCTTATTTATTTAAAATTCCGCTTTTATTATATTATCGACTTGTGTTTGTTAAAAAGAAGCAAAAATGAAAGTGTAGTAAGTAGTTAAGGTTTGGCTTGTCTAGCTTTCATTAGTAGGCATCATCACGCCCCCGAAGATGGAAAATCCGGGAAAATAAACAACGGGAACACGCTAGAAGATTAGTTTTACGAGAAGAAGACTAAAATGGGGTACAAACCAATTTATTGATGGGCAATTGCAATTTAATAATAATAAAAATAATAAAGTTACTTTTACGAGAAGAAGATTACTTGAAGAAGACTCAAACTTGTATAAAGTTTTTTTTATAAGGAGTAGTTTTGTTATTAGTGCTAGTATTGTAACAGAAAATAATAACATTAATAACATAATACTAAATAAGAATAAACACAGAATAAATATTAATTAAAAGACGACAGTCATTTGGAAAATAGACCAGACATTCAAACTTCCCCAATTTTCTATTTTAATAATGTTCTATGGTCGTTAACTCGTTCCTAATTCTCTCAGCCCTCCGGAAAAAAATCTAAAAAAAGAAATGCTACATATCAACAAGATAAACTATAATTACTATATTAACAAAAATATTCCTACAGCTGCACAATGACATTGTAAGTAAAGGTGGATCTAATATTTTAAAATTTTGGGATTTTGAATAAATCTTTTATATACGTTAGTTGAATTTTAAACATAAATACAAAATTTAGGCGAAAATTGTTGAGTTATTCCGAACCCATAAATCGAATTATATAATTTTTCAGATAAAGATAATCGTATCAAAACATGTTCAATTTCTCCATATAGAAAAATCAATCTTCTCTTCTGTAATTAGTGCTACGTATTATAACAGAAAATAATAATAACACGTGTAACCAAATAAGTCCATATTCCAAATAAGAAATAATTCCAGTTCCCATTCAACTAACACCATTTAACTAGTAGAATATTAATTCATGTCATTTTCTTATACCATTTACGAGTCATTCCTTCCCCCATCCCTCTTCCTCCAAAAAAGAATCTAAAATAATTAAGAAACACTACCTCTGAGGCAAGATTACTATAATTACTATATCATGAACGAAGAACATATACACATTGTAGCTGATAATAGAGGCATTTGGAAAATATGAAGAACGTCTAAATGTTCCATTAATGCATATGCAGACTATCAAATATGGAAACCAAACTTCATTATAAATTGGCTGAAATCATCTCCACTAAACACACCATTAACACTAAACACACCACTACTACAACATTAACATTTGAAGTTGAAGCAACACGAAAAAAGTTGAAGCTCGTTTCTGTTTTCTGCCAGTGATAAATTTTAAAATCAATCCAGGTTATATAGTTTTTTGTTTATTAAATATTGTTGCCTATCTTCTAATCGGTTATCATAATTAAACTTGAGTTCATTGTATATTCTAGTCCATAATATTTTTCTGACTTGAATAATATTCTCATACGTAATGGCTTATCAAGTGCAGGAAGATGCCAGCTGGAGCTATGTGGGTTATTGCAGTTATAGCTATTTTGCCACTCCTTTTATGTGGTGAAGGCCAACAGGTGCTAAACACCACACGTAATTATATACCTTGATCTATAGAGAGGTGACGTGCCAAGTAATGTACTTATCTTTCTCCCTTCTTTATAAACCTTTTGTCCTTATTTTCGTAAAAATTGTACGGGACGCCTATTTAGTCGCCCCCACTTAACCTATATTTATTTTTTAAAAAATTTCTAACTTAATACTCATTCTTTAAATAATTTCAGCCCCATTTCTCCTCCTTCTTCTCCTCCTCAAAGTTATATCCGCTAGGAGTTAATGCACTTACAACGGAAGAAAAGAAAAGACAAACAATAATTATATATCATCAAACTGAGGATGTAAAGAGAGGGGCAAGTGCGTCAATGGGAAGGCGATGATTGAATAAGGAGGACCACCTTTGAACAATTAAAAGAATTGTATATTAATAATAATTAATTAATTTTTGACATATATCAACTTTTGGAGGCACAGAAGAAAAGTATGCGTCCTTCAAGTTTGAACGCTTATAAAATTCTGGAAAAGGTAACTGAACGTCATATTCAAACAACAGAAACACAAATACAAGAAAAAGAATAACTTAAATACCTGAAAGAATATATCAGTAAAGCAGCTATTTTCATGTTTTCGTGACAGTATCATTATGGAGGGAAAAAGACTCGTCAGTTACAAAACAAAAACTTAAGTTCTAGAGATGAACTTCGGGCCCGTCTACTAGAATGCTGAAGTTTTCGTGATTGCCTTTGCTACTTCTGTTATGCCCCGCAATATTACGTCGATATTACGTTCCGCAGTATTATATTACGGCGAAGTTACCCTCTGTAGTAATATATTACGATGGTGTTACGTCCTGCAGTAATACATTACGATGATGTTACGCTTCGCAGTATTAAGTTACGACAGGATTGCACCCAACAGTATTACATTACGATGATGTTACACTTCGCAGTAATAAGTTACGACAATGTTGCGCCCTGCAGTATTTTACGTTGAATTTGTCGTAAGGTAATTGACATCAATCCAAGGAAAAGATTGTTTGGAGATTATAAGGATTGTAAGTGATGAATAAATTCGCGAAGGTGAGAGAGGAAGCAAGTCAAAGAAAATAAATTTCGTTGAAATTTAGTTTTTTGGGATAAAATACGGCTCGAGCTAAAATACTCGGTATTTATGGACTAGTACCATACAAGGTACCACATGACCATAATAGTAAGGTGTATAAGGTATGTAAAAAGTGAGTAATATTTTAAATAAGTGGGAATAATTCTTTATTGTATGGGTAATCGGTTAATTATTGGGTAATGGGAGATTACCTAGTTAATTAAGGAATTATTGAATAATTAATTGAACACTTTTGGATAAGAATTAAAATCAAAGGTGGCAGCAAATTAAACCCAAATTGATGACTCATTAGTTAATAGGATAGGTGGCATTAAGGGGTCTTTGGGCAACCTATCAAGATAACACATGGAAAGTGCACTTTGCCATTAAACATGTACAAGGAATTAAAGTTAGCCATCTTTACAAATTAGGTTCAATTGATATCAAATTCAGTTTGGAGAAGATTTTGGAAGCTCACATGAGACTTCATGTTACGGATATCTTAGATTAGAAAAGAAATTCATAGGTAATTGCACTACGTAATAACAACGGGATTTTTCTATTCTAAGGAAAAAAGGTGCAATCTTTCTCAAGAATATATACAGATTTGTCCCTACTCCAGGTATGTTAAGGCTAAGCTCTTTCTTCATTTTGGCATGATCTCGTCGTTACACAAGTTTGATAATGAGACATAAAGAAAAATTCATATCCCGAAATTTAAGTATATTTTGCTAGTCTCGCAAGTTGCGTATATTTTTCTAGCATTGTAAATTACTATATTCTCCTTACTAGGACTTCATACTCAATTAAGTATTTTCTTATTCCAGTCAAGAGAGCAAAGAATTTATATATACAGTATTAAATTATTTTCATTACCATCGAGCCATAATCGATGGGCAGGCCCCTATTGGGCAACCTCTGATCAGATGGTAAGTTATATACCGAGCCTACTGTGGCCAAACGCTTATGAGCGAGCCCAGTTGGTTGAGATACAGAGCCTAGTATGGCCGAGCGCCTATAAGCGAGCCTACTACAGCAGAGCAGTTATATATACACCGAGCCTACCGTGGCCGAGCGCTTATGAGTGAGCCCAGTTGGTCGAGATACAGAGCCTAGTATGGTCGAGCGCCTATGAGCGAGCCTACTACGGCAGAGCAGTTATATATATATATATATATATACTGAGCCTTATAGGGCCGGACAACTATTTTACTTACTATGTTGAGAGAATTGAGTCAGTATCAGTAGGTAAGCATATCTTCATATTATCTTTGACTTCCAGCTACTTGCAGTTATAATATTATCAGTTCAATTTTAGCTTTCAGTATATTGCCTTATATACTTGGTACATTATTTAGTATTGACGTCCCTTTTTCCTGGGGACGCTGCGTTTCATGCCCGCAAGTCCAGACAGACAGGCCGAGAGCCCTCCAAGTAGGCTATCAGCTCAGCGTAAGATGTTGGTGCGCTCCATTTGCTCGGAGTTGCGTGTTTGGTTAGTATGATTTAGACGTGTATTGTTTGGCATGGCGAGACTCTGTCCAAACCTTTATGACATCTATGTACTCTTAGAGGCTTGTAGACATATGTCGTGTACGTGAAAGATTGTACAGCCTTGTCGGCCTATGTTTTGGAATTTATAAATGATCATGTTGGACTATTAGACTTGTATGTCACGTGTATATGATGATATAATAAGAAAGATACGTTACGTTGGTACTCGGTTGAGTAAGGTACCGGGTGCCCGTCACGGCCCATCGGTTTGGGTCGTGACAACTCCAGCCCCGTATGCTGAAGTTATGCGAAAAAGCGGGTACGCTTGCAATTTTTTTTTGCAAAACGAGCATAAGTTAAAACGTGACACAAAAAGTGAGTATAGATATAAATTCTCTGTATTTTCTCAGTGGGAAGATTAATCTTATTTTACCTTATTTATTGAATTTTATTAAACATTAGTGACTAGTTGTTTAATTTCATCAGCCACAAAAGGTCCTTTGCATATTTCAATAATCTCATGTGATTATTCAAAAACTTGTAAAAAATAATTTGGAATATACTTGCAACGCACGTGTCCAAAAGCTAATATTTAGAAATATATTTTAAAAAAATATTCAATTCCAAATTTCACATTTAAGATTTGATAATCAATTAGAACGTTGAACCGTTTTCAAGGTATCAATATATTACTTTTCAAAGTAAAAATACAGGGCAAAAGGGGCAGTTAAAGAAAGAATTTTTTTTTGGCAAAATAGCCTAACATATACTCACATTGGCTTTTTTTTAAGAGGCTTTAGAACAACTATGGCTTTTTTTTCTTTTTCCCTTTCATCGGTTCCTCAAATAGATCAAACTAATTAATTTTTCATTTTATTTGTGGGG